CTTAAGTTATGCTATGTTTTCGGTCACATATGTAACATGATCGTGTATTTAAATTTGTAGTTTGTCTTTCTATGTTTGATTCTCTTATGTTGGATTAGTTGTAGGCCAAACTCAAATTCATGCTAGTTGTTGACAATTGATCTTGCACTGTGATTACAGTTGGACCTTATTTTTTGTTCATTGTAATTGCATTAATACAAGAGTCTTTTGTTATTTGCCGCCCTTGTTAGATGTAGAAGGAAGTTTTTGTTCAATTTATTTTTCAAGCTGAGAATTGTAGGTTATCAATACTTCCCATGTAAGGAAAATTTCTGTTACTTGAAAATTCTCATACAAGGAAAATTTCTACTATGACATTATAGGCTGAAATGAAACATTTGTGGTAAGATGAAATTGAGATATAAACAATTTTGAGCTTAATTGTTGAATGCACAAGCAACACTTCACAAGATGGAGCCAAGAACGTGCCCACCCAAAACACATAAAATAATCAATCAAGCTGAATTAACAGCATTCATCGCAATCAGAATTTTGATTTCTAATACTCTAATATTATTCTTATGCATTTTATTCAATTAGCAGTTAGTGCAAACCTCAATGAAACCATATAACAAGTTGCCGAAAGAAATAATCTAGACATTGAAAATTATTTTTACATTCCTACATAGTTAGCACTATAAAAGTGCAACGTCTTCAAAAGTTACATAACACGTACCGCAAATACATAATACTCAAGCCGGGGTCTTCCCTTTGTTATCGACTTCCACACTTGCTTTTCTTTTACGAATTGTCACGTTCATAGAAAATTTAAATTCTTGTTCATCGTTTAAACGAAGCGTCGATTCGAACATGCCAGTGACATCTGCAATTGATTCATTCGTCGAAGCATTAGTTGACGTCACACTAGCTATACTTGATTCACCTTCTCCAACCTAAGGGTGGGCGTGGGTTGGGTTGGGTCGGTTTTTGCCCCAACTCAAACACAACACAACATTGTCGGTTTGTTCGAAATCCAACCCAACCCAACCCAATTATGTGTCGGTCGGGTTGGGTTGGGTTGGTCGGTTTGAATCATAAATTTCAATTTTTTTGACACATGTTGGAATTAAATGAATTGAGATCCTAGCGAGACAAGTAGTATAG